CACCCTGTCACAGGGATTTGAACCGCCGACCTTCTGATTGGCAAGCCCTAGGCTCTGTGGTTTAGACCACAGCGCCACCCGCGTCCATAGAGCCTGATTATTCCAAAGCTTCCATTTGGAACACAAAGCAGTAAACAAACAACAACAAACCATTGATGGAAGCATACATTTGTAAACTGGTGTTGTTGGCCATCCCTGACATCATGGTTGACATGATTCTACCAATGTTGATTTGCATTCTGAAACTTCCTGGAGATCCCCTGACCTGCCATCATGCTGCTGTTGCTCAATCTCTCCACAGAGCCCCAATCATTATGGACACTGGAAAATCCAGTGTAAACATCCAGATTTCTATGTAAGCAATTATAGTGGTCTAGTTCAAGAACAACAGGAAGTACTTTAAATGCATTTCCCAGTTCAAGATTTGTAAGCTACCATTGCTGTTTTTAGCATAGCAGTAGCTGTGCATCACATACTGATCTATATAGGTTACCTGCAGCTGATAAGCGAATTATGGTGATTTAGAATGCCGATCACCACCTACAGCAACCATGCCTGCAAACAGATGTGTAGGTTTTGAATCATGGAAGGTACTCATGCATTTCTGAACTATTTACATGCCATGCTGCCACTTTTTTTAAAGGGCCGGAAGACTCTTTTTTCCATGCTACACCAGTGAGCTGTGGTAGTAAGGGATATGGTCATGAATATCTCTTAAGCCATGCTGCAGATTATATGACTCATAAAATCAGCTTATTCCAGTAAATGGTGGTTTTGGCTTCTAAACCAAAGGCTGTAGTAGCAATAATAAGGCAGATAATTGAGTATTGCATCATCTGCAGCAAATGTAATAAAATAACTACCAGAGGAGATGTGTCTGGAATGATCGTATTAAACATCATATTTGAGATTAGAAAGAATAACATCTTGTCTCCCGTGGTAAAAATATACTAATAAAGATGGCAGTAACATTAATGGCATTATGGTAGACATCTGTCTTTATTGCCAAGGTAGAAACTTGTAAAAAGAAACAAAATCAGCATGAATTTCTCTTTAGAGCTTAAGCTCATGCTCATTTTTCTCAATAAGAGTCTCAGTTCCAATGCCCCCCACCCCCCGTACTTTACTGAACTGATATTTATTGGATTATTGGCTTGGCTTGAAGCAGTGTATGCCAGACGTGTGTGTGGGGCTACGCTTGGATCTGGTCCAGAGGCTACAGCTTTGTGCAAAATGCTGCAGCTAGACTGCTGATAGGGACAGACAATTAGAATCATGGAACTGTAGAGGATTCTAGTCCAACCCTCTGCAAGGCAGGAATATGCAGCTGCCCCATAAGAGGATCAAACCTGCAACCTTGACATTATCAGCACTATGCTGTAACCAACTGAGCTATCCATGCATTGCCAGCTCATAACTCCAGTGCTCGAAAACTGGCACTGGCTGCCATAGGCTACTCGGCCAGGTTCAAGGTTCTTGTATTAATTCACAAGGCTCTCCATAACATGGTGCCAGGATACCCCAAGAACCATCTAATCCCTTATAGGCCTCCCAGATCACTAGGGTCTTTGGGGGAGTCTCTGTTAGTGGTCACTCATGGATCGCATGCATGGCTCATATCAGAGTCTCCAAGTGTCTTTTCCAGGGACAGTCCTGGATCTACAGAAGCCATCCCAGTTTCTGATTTGATTCCAGAATGCCCTGCTGTTCCTTAGGACATCCCTATTTTCATCAGAGAAATGCTGGAGGGGATGGAGTTAGGCAACCCCGAGCCAAGGAGATAAGTAACTATACAACCTTTAGAAGACATCTGAAGGCAGCCCTGTATAGGGAAGCTTAATGTTTAATGTTTAATTATGTTTTTATATATGTTAGAAGCTGCCCAGAGTGGGCAACCCAGTCAGATGGGTGGGATAAAAATATAACTAATAATAATAATAATAGAATACAATGTTCCTATTTTGTATGAGCAATGTCAAATACAAAAATGTGTATATTTTAGTAAACACTAAAATGCTGATGAATTTTCACAAGGAGTTTAAACAAATAAACAAAAACCAAATCCCAAGCTGATGTGGAAATGTGGATAAATGAACTTAAGACCAGAGAAATAAGAAACAGAGATATCCAAAGAATAACCCATTCCTGTTTGTAGAACACAAATATTGCATGCAGAAGCCGAAAATGGCATGCAACTTTGTATAATGTACATGTCATTGCAAGTAATTTTACCACAATGCAATACAGTTTTGTATGTTTTCACAGAAATAACCATCTTTAGGCACACTTTAATACATGCATTTTTGTAGCTGTTACTTGGTTGGAGAAATGCTTTGTGAAATTTGGAGACATGCAGACTTTGAAGTATGGTTGTGCTATGGTTTTGGTGCTGTTTTGGAAAATTTGAATTAAACAGGCTCACCTTTAAATACAAACTAAAAATAATTTCTCCCCCATCCTGCCATAGTCTCTTGCTGCCCAGCTACGGCAGAGTTCAGTAGCAGGAGAGGCCAGCCAACCAACCAAGTCTCAAAGGGATACCTGCCTGGAGCAGAGTCCGTACACAAGGTTTAGTCCTAAGGTCAGGAGTATCTCAGGTCACGTAGTCAGACGGCCCAGGGGTCAAGAAAACCAAGGGTCCAAGATCACAAGAAGCAAGAAACAGCAAGGTCAGCAGGTGAAGCTGATTCCTGGCCCATGATGCATCTCTACCTATGAATTATGGGTCTTCCCATCACCCTCCAATAATCAAGAAACACATGCACTGTGAACTCACATATGTCTGCTTCATTCATAGCTTATGTGCTTAACACTGGGTTTGAAAATGGCTATGCAAGGCCATTTATATACAAGTATTCTGAATGAATCAGCACTGAAACTTCACAATGTTTTCACTGCAGCACTAACGTTTGCAATAAGGGAATCACTGGTGGAGAACTAGCTGGGTATCTGAACTTTGCCTCAATTAATGTTTTGTGTTTTTAATAGTTTAGTACAGCACCGTTCCCAAAACAACTTTGCTTGCACAATAAATCTAATAAGCTGCCCTGAGTGGGTGGGGCAACACAGTTAGATGGGCGCGGTATAAACAATGAAAGTAGTGTTGTTGTTGTTATTTTGTTACATATTGTTTATTTCATTATTTTATTCAGTCATTCATTTATTGCATCATTTATTAAATTTATACCCTGCCCTTCTTCTCTAAGGAACCTAGGGCATCAAAACCAAAATTTTAAACATTTAAGAACAATTGCAAACATGTTTAAAAATCAATTAAAACTATAAAATACCCTCACCACTAACAATTCAATTTCACTCAGGCACTTTCAGAGTTCTAGCTGTTGCAAAAAGAAAGTGCATAAAGAGATCGAATGTTAAAATTACCAGACCTAAATAATTATCCTCGTATCCAATATCTTGCTACTGGGTCCACCCGCCCCCCCCCCAGCAATATCTGTTATCATTTCTTCACTGAGCCATAAGGGGGTGCTGTCTCACTTTATATTAAGCCTTGTGATTATTTTCTTCATCAAAGAGGCTTACAACAAGGACAGATAATCTCCTTTCCCTTATTTCCTATAGGAGCTGCTGTGTCCATTCCGCTTTCCTTCTCACACGCTTCTTTTTCTGAAACAAAACATTCTCTTTGTGTTTAATTTCAAGCAAGCAAACCTTATACTGCCCACACATGGAAACTGTGTTTGAGACAGACACCTGAAGATTGCTATGACAACGGTATACAATGCTGAACCGGAAAAAGCTACTAGCTATGGCTGGAGGCAGCAGTGCTTTTGAATACGAGTTGCTGGAAACTGTAGAAAGAACAGTGCCTTTGTGCTCAAGTCCTGCTTGTGAGTTTCCCAGAGGCATCTGGGCGGCCACTTTGAGAACAGGATTCTGGAATACAGGGTCCATTGGTTGCTCCAGCAAGGCTCTTCTTAAGTTCTTAGGGCAAACTCCTACATTCCTGTGTCTAGATACTCAGATTGTAGCTTCACCTTTCATTTTCCCAAATGCTTGGAGCATCCCCGTCAACTCTTTTACCTAAGGACCCAAAGCTAAAAGGCCCTGCATTGAGATATTCCAATGGTCCAACTTTTTGTGGAGCTCTCCTGGGAGAGACAGCAATAGCTCTGGGACGATAACAGAAGGTGCCTGAGTTTGCAGTTTGGGGAAGAACGAATGCACATTGTGAATCAAATCTCTAGTTCCTGGAGGTTATTTCTGAAACTGTGCTTGCTTCTGCCCAGCCTATGGCAACTGCCGTTGGTCAGCACCTAAGAGGTGATGCCAGCAAAAAAAAAAAAAAAGGGGGGGGGGACTCTGGTTGAAAAACTTATTTCTCTTCCCTTCCCCGGCTCTTCTATTTCACAAAAAGGCAAACTTCTGTGGTTTGTTCACAAAGCAACCTGTGAACCAGCTGCAATGTGCCCAGAGGCTCCCTGGTGACTTGCAGCCTGTCTCTCACAATACTACAGCCCTGCAGCGACTGTTTTCTGACTTGCTAGCTAGCTGACAGCACCAGGTTTCTTCTAGGATGAGAGGGGAACAGAGGAATTAACCATGGGGGGCGGGAATTGCTGGGGAATTCATTTAGAATATTTATTAATCACTCTTCCTCCAAAAAGGAGATCAGGGCAAAAGCGGGTGTAGCAACAAATGGAAGTTTTCGGGTTCCAGGGGGCACATTTCAGCCATATTATGTAAGGGTATAAGAAGACATAGCTTTCCTTTCCTCCCTGTGTTCATCACATGCAGCATGTTTCCCTTCCACTGCAGTTCACCATCTGCCCCCAAAACACTACATTATTTTTCTTGCTGTTTGCTGTGGCAATATTACATAACGTACTTATTCCACTCCATTCATTTAAATGCGAAGGAAACACAATGCAAATGGGTGTGTGTGTGTGGAATGTATTCAAGCCTGTAACATATAACAACAGCAAATACCAACCATATGTGCTGATTCCCATTCCAGAGTCCAGACATGGAGCTGTATGCCGTAGCTTAGTGGTAGAGCATCTGTCTTGCATCCTGACAGCCCTGGGATTCAACCCCTGGCTGGGAGAGACTCATAGTCTGAAACTTTGGGGAATGGCTACCAGTCAGAACAAGCAACACTCAGATAGGTCAAAAGTCTGACTCAGTATAAGGCAGCTTCCTCTGTTCCAGTAGGACAAATAAGTGAGCATGGTCATTTCTGCATTTGTTGGAATACTCTGACATCCCTACTCTCAAGGAAGGTGTAGAGAAGGGCTGCTGGTGGGTTTTACCTGGGGAGATGGTCACCTTCCATTATTGCCCCTGTCTGTCATTATGATATGATCTTTCTACCTGCATTTTTTTTTTAGGGACACTGTGGAAAGCGAAGAAATGGAGCAGTACATTGTAAAACCTGATCAGCAGAGAACTGCAACCTTGCCCCACCATTTCCTCCTTTCTCTCCCCTCTACAGTGGTACCTCGGGTTACATACGCTTCAGGTTACATACGCTTCTGGTTACAGACTCCGCTAACCCAGAAATAGTACCTTGGGTTAAGAAATTTGCTTCAGGATGAAGCACAGCGGCAGCAGGAGGCCCCATTAGCTAAAGTCGTGCTTCAGGTTAAGAACAGTTTCAGGTTAAGAAAAGACCTCCGGAATGAATTAAGTACTTAACTCGAGGTACCACTGTATTATGCTTGAGAAATGTGGGGATTGAAAGTGGGGAGGTGTCCTGATGCAAACAAACAGAAACACTATTTCCCCAGCCTCAAAACTGGCTTCTGCTTCAGATGTGCTTTTGCATGCAGTTCCAAAATGTATAAATATTCCCACCCAACCACCTTTTTTCTGTATGCTGCATGCCAGAGTATCTCAGCAGGTACAGGCCCTTTTTTCAGAAACTGACATTTACTGCAGAAGCAGTTCTCCTAGGAATTTTGTTGGAATTTTTTCGCCCCCCCCCCCAATGGAGACAATTCCCAAAGTTTCCTTTTGTTCAGTTAGACCTTTTGAAGTCAAAGGGCAGTCCCCCCTTTTAGTTTAGAGACAAAGCAAGTAAGATAGTGGTTTATAAAATTATGAACAGCATGGATAGAGAAAAGGTTTTCTCTATCTCTTAGAACAGTAGGACACCCAACGAACCTGATGTTGAGAGATTCAGGACAGAGAGAAGTCCTCCTTAAACCAGGGAACTCTCTTTCACAGGAGGCAATGATGACCACCAGCTAGGACAGCTGTAAAAGAGGGTTTGACAAATCCATGGAGATAAATCTATCAATGGCCACTAATCATGATGGAGGCTATGTTCTGCTTCCACAGACCATGGAGGCAATGTTCCACCTCCACCATCATGTCTGGATGCTAGTTGCTGGGAAATGCAGGTAGAGAGTGTACTGTTGCCCTAAGGTCTTGCTTGCAGGATTCCCAGAGACAGGATGCTGTACCAGACAGGGCATTCTTCAGTTCTTCAGTAACCTGGCAAATAATTGAAATAATGCTTGCTCCACATAGCCATACTTCTTATTATGTCATGTAAACATACCCAGGCACTCGCCATCCTAGCAGATGCCTAGGCCTGTCAAGTAGCATTTGATGGACTGGATGATAAGTCTGACCAGCAGTGCCATGTTGCTCATCGAAATGAAGGACATGTCAAACACAATTCCCTTCTCTCAGCAGATAGTGTCATTCTTTGCCCGCCACCTGGCATGGGAATAATACATGTCAAAGGCAACGGGTTTCCCATTTCACTCGGAACATCTGTTTGCAGATCACCAGTTAGATGAGCAAGCCAAAAACGAAGCACTCTTGCAGTGTATTGAGACAGCTGGCCAGGAAGAGAGAGATACATAATTTAGAATAGCTGTGGATGGTAGTGGGCTAGAGCTTCCACCAGGTTTTGCCTGGAGTGAAATTCAAGGCAGCTTTGGAAGATCTGAACAATCCTGGAGGGTAAGGAACCTGTCCACTTGGGTAGTCCTCAGAGGTTTCTTAGGAACTGTAAGATCCTGCACTTATTGTTGTTGACAATACTGAAATTGGGTGGGTCTGATGGGAGAGATGGAGGGGAGGGGGGAGTTTCTTCCACATACACTTCGCTTAACATCCAGCCTGTTGAAATGTTCTGGAGCATTTAAAAGCTTGTTCACTGTTTTGTGGCATATGCTTTATTCCTAATAAAGATATTACCTTACGGAGGGTTTCGGAACACAGTTGTATACCTCTAGTCTGTCTTAGAGAAGGTCTCCATAAGGAATGAGGGAAATCTCCATAAACACGTGATTTTGGGGGGGGGGATGATTCATCCATCACCAAGCTAGTGGAAAATAGCATACATGCGTGTGTACGCAAGCAAGCAAGCGCACGCACACATGCACGCGCACGCACGCACGCGCGCACGCGCGCACACACACACACACACACACACAGAAGTGACTCTTCTCTCATCCAGTAGCCACTACAGGGGGTTCTGCAGAACCATCTTGCCCTGAGAGGGGAAGGGAGAAGAGACAGTAGCAAGTGTTTCTTAAACAAACAAGTTGTCTCTTCCATTCTATTGTAACATATATATATATTTTTTTAAAAAAATCTTTATTGCTGTAACCATCTTAAGTAAACTGCTTTGCAAGGTCAGCTTGAAAAGTAGCAAATAAATGCTGCAATTAAATAAAAAATAAATACATAAATAATACCAACAGGATTGCAGTGAAGATTGCAGCATGTTCAGGTAGGGGGTGGACTTATGTTTTGATGAGGTAGGTAAGGCGTGTTGTTGTTTTTTAAAGGAAAGAAGTCTTAACTGCATTCCAGCACCCTCTAGAGGTGCTGCAAAAAGACAGACTACGGTTGCTTCCATCTATGGAGCTTTGCCTCAGCTGTTGAATTCAGGGTGCCAGGAATGTAGGAAGCTGCGCTATACTGAGTCAGACCTTTGGTCTGCTTAACTCAGGACTCAGCTATGCAGCTGCAAATAAAACTTTTTAAATGTGTTGTAAAGTGCAATATGTAAAGGTGACACTGGATGGCGACAGTAAGCTATGCCAAATTCAGTGGTACCTCAGGTAACAAACACTTTGGGTTACAGACTAAGCTAACCTGGAAGTAGTACCTCAGGCTGAGAACTTTGCCCCAGGATGAGAATGGAAATCGCGCACTGGCAGCAGGAGGCCCCATTAGTGAAAGCACGCCTCAATTTTGGGTTAAGAATGGACCTCTGGAATGAATTAAGTTCGTAACCACTGTATTTTTCAAAACTTTTTTTTAAAAGCATTTTCATAGTGTTTTTTAATACAGTGGTACCTCGGATTAAGAACTTAATTCGTTCCAGAGGTCCATTCTTAACCTGAAACTGTTCTTAACCTGAAGCATCACTTTAGCTAATGGGGCCTCCTGCTGCCACCACACCGCCACTGTGCGATTTCTGTTCTCATCCTGAAGCAAAGTTCTTAACCCGAGGTACTATTTCTGGGTTAGCGGAGTCTGTAACCTGAAGCGTATGTAACCCGAAGCGTCTGTAACCCGAGGTACCACTGTATGTGTGTAGATTCCACCTCTGGGAATCTTCTGCACACAGGGCAGTTGCTCCACCACTGAGCTATGGCTCTTTCAGTGACTGAAGTGACAATCTATAATGCAGCCACTGGTGGGCATTTTAACTTGGTGGGGGGGATTCTTCAGGCCTGGCTTGCTTGCTGTAATGCGGTGACCAATCCAGAATATAATGAATGCCTGTGATTTTTTAGGTTTTCTTTTTGTGTTGTACTTGCTAGAAGGCACACCTGCTCCATTTCTGGAGCAAGTTCAAAAGGTGGATTTTCCCAAAGGGGAGTTTTCAGGTTTGACATTATGTCAGGTGGATTTATGTTGCCATGCAGTCATATCTTTTTTACAGGTGCATCAAGAGAAGCTTGATGGGCACTTTTGATAAACCCAAAGAAAACAAATAAATGATGGGATGTGGGGACAGAATAGGTCAGCATCTATCTGAATTATTAATCGGCTGTTGAGATACGGCGTATATATATATATAGAGAGAGAGAGCGCTCCAGTGTTCTTTTCCTCTGTGTCCTCGTGTAGAACAAAAGTTGAAAACCAACTTCAGGGGTGCTCTGGATCTGCTCTGAGATTTTATGTTTATTTTCCTGAGTGTGCATGAAGTGATGGACATGAGGCAGGAGTTGATAATGCAGGCGAGCTACGCACAGGTGAGCTGCAAGCAAGCTGCCAGCCAGCCCTATGGAGCTTCCTTTTATTGACACAAATATGCAAACCAGGCAGATACATTTTGGGCTGTGTCCTTTACACATCTTCCAGTCCCGAGATATTGGGGTGGTACAAAGTTATTTTGGCACCTGTTTTCACCGCGTCATTTTCCCCTTGCACAGTGTATTATGAAGGAGACAAAAGGTCTCAGAGACAAAGGTTACAGACAGGGCACTGCAGACTACTGAGACCGCAAAAGGTTAGACAGAGGATACGATGTTCAGACAGCTGTGGCTTGTCTGTGAGGGGGTGTGTCTGTGCCCTGCACCCCAAGGTCACGCGTGCAGGCAGACTGTGGCTGCCTGTGGGTGGGGAGTGTGCTACCTCCGGATCCCACTCCCCACTCTGCGATTATCCCTACATGTGCAGAAGGTCAGGAGGTTTGTGATAAAATCTGGATGCAATGAGAAAGAACAATACTAGTAACTATGGGTATTGCATTGGGACAGGTCCATGCAATAATTTCAGTTCTTCCTCTCTCTCTCTCTCTCTCTCTCTCTCTCTCTGCAATCTTAATGCCTTCCCACGTCAGTTTGCCGATTTCTTTCTTAAAGCACTCATGAAAATTCATGAGCATTTTAAAATGCAAATTTCTCTTAATATTCATATTTTTTGTATGCCCCCTTTTTTCCCAAAGAAAATTTCCCAAATATAATGCATTTTAATATATTATTTTCTCTTGTATATGTAGTTTCGTGCACATTTTGCCCTGATATATGCTGCATGAATTGAACGCATTGTTTGGCTGGTGCACTGCAAAAAGTGGAAAGAACACATAGACATCCAATGAAGCTGAATGCTGGAACATTCAGGACAGATTAAAAAAAAAAATTCATGCAGCGCATAGATAAACTATGGAACTCTTTCCTACAGGAGACAATGATGGCCACCAAGCTAAATGGCTTTAGAAGAGGATTAGACGAATTCTTGGAGGAGAGGGCTGTCAATGGCTACTAGCTGTGCTGGCTATTCTCTGCCTCCAGAGTGGGAGGCAGCAACGCTTTGAACACCAGTTGCTGGAAATCATGGGAGGGTAAAGTGCTCTTGTGCTTGAATCCTGCTTGCAGGTTTTCTGCAGGCATCTGGTTAGCCATTGTGAGAACAGGGAGCTGGACTAGATGGGAAGTTGGCCTAACCTATCAACTTCATGTTATGTTCCTATGGCATCCTTGTGTTGTCTGTTAGCACCCAGGGCATGTGCACCCAGGGTGGAGGCGGGGGCATGGCGTGGAGGGTGAACAAAACCTACCATGCCAGCACAGCATCTCCGTTGATGCCGGGCAGACACAGGCCATGGAGGGTTCATATGGCCATGTTGTGCTGCTTGCCTGCCTGTGCAGAGGGGAGCCTGGCCAGCTAATGCAGCCCTTGGTGGGTAAACCTCCATGGCACTGACCATGCAGCCATTCAGTGAGGGGGGCAGGCAAGGCAGGAAGGGGATCCCTGCATAGGGGCACCTCATTTGTGCCCCCTGAAAATTGTGCCCCTGGGGCTAGGATCCCCACCCACCCCCACACTAGCCACTGGAGCCACCACATCCTAAGCTGTTCACCCTGGTGGAATTTGCCATAGGATTGGCATCTTAGTTCAAAAAGCTTACTCAGCTCCATTACTGCTCTAGATATCTTTCCCCCTCCATCTTTGGATTACAGGGGCACCAGCTAGTTTTCTTTGCCAATGTTCTGAGACATAATTCAACCATAAACGCTTCCTGGGAACTGCTATTCTGTGCAGAACCAAGTTAAGAATGGGGAGGAAACGTTGATGTCAATTTGTTCATTTTTAATACCACCAGACCTTTTACGTGTTAAATATAGAATTTAGAGATATTGGTGACAAAGGGCTGGGTGTACCTGGCACAATTAGCTTTAAAATTGCCTTTCATTTGTTTCTTTTTATATTGCCTTTTCTGGATTATTGATCGCAAGTAGAGATTGCAGAAAAAGAAATATTTTTGAATATTACATTATTTTAAGATGCTCTATTGGGTTCTTTAATGTCTCATTTTACTCCGGCCTCTGATTTATTCTTTTTTGAGGTGACTGTAAATGACCCTTTCACAAAATGTAGTGCCTGGCCCAGATCTGAGAATGGCCCAACTCCAGTGTTTCATCTTCACAGAGAATGATAGTTTAAATATGGAGTGGAAGAATGTGCTTGCTTTACTATAATGTTATTTGACAGAAGAAAGTATCTGTCCTGTTTTTGTTTTGTTTTGAAGGAGCAGTCAGCAAAGATTTATTCACAACAATGCAATTTCACAAGATATCAAGAAAATATTTGGAACTCATTGCAGATTATTCTTTAAAAACAAAAAAACAAAAAAGGATCGCTTTGGCTGCCTTCAGATGTCTTTTTTTAAAAAAAGTATATTTTATTGAAAGTTTTCAGTGAGGAAACAATGTGAAAGAAAACAAAAACAAACAAAAAATACTTGAAATTGTGATTCAATATATGGGTGTATAAGTAACACAAATGTTCCAACAAATGTAATATTATTAGCAAGTCATCATACTTTTTATAAATGGATTCCAAATATCATTACATATTCGTTTGTATGTTGCAAGAGTTGCCATGTCTTCTGTGTATGTGCCAGCCCTCTTGGCCACGGCCCAGTCCAAGAGCGCACACAGGTGTCCAGCAACCCACCTCTGGTGGAGCTGTGGGCACGCTATGCATCAGCAGAGTAACAGCAAGAAGAGAGGCTGCGAAAGCTTCCTTTATTTACAAATCAAAACAACAAACATGGCTAGTATGAGCAGCAGCTTCACACGTCTGCTCTGTCCAAAAGCAACGAGCAAAGAGAAAAAAATACAAAAGCACATAGGACGGAAGTACAGTCTCTAGTTCCGTTCCCACACTCCTGTCACAAAGGAATGTAAACAGTGGATCATGAGATCCGACAGCAATGGAGAATGCAAATACTAACATTCTGTCCATTATTTGAAGGGGGCCATGGTATTATCATTCCAATTAATCAATATAAGTCTTTTGAAAGAATGGTGTGGAGATTCCATCTATGTTGACACATTGTCAAACCCCTTATAGGTGGTATATAGATTAAAATAATAATATCATCCGACAAATTTAATTTTTCCAGCCATATTGCTATTTACGCATCCTAGGACTTTCCTCCAAAAAAAATTAAGTGTAGGATATTGCATAAACATGTTTCAAAGAAGAATTTTCTTTATTAAATCTCCAGGAGCATGTTGTCATAGATAGCCCCTTTCCATACAAACGTAATGGAGTCAAAAAAATTCTAAATAATATTTTTGTTGTATAAAACATAGTTTATAATCTAATGACACATTTGTTACAGAAGCTAAAACCTAGTCCCATTGCTTAGGTAAAATAGGACTCTCCAATTCTTTATTCCATAGCTACATTCAGATGTCATGGAATTGTGGAAATGAACCTATTGAACCTAGCTTCATGTACTGTTCCTCCAGCTTTAGGGCAGGTGTGAGCGAAGTTTGGAAGCTCTCAGGTCTGTTTTTGATTAATCATAGCTTTCTGTGCTGTCCAAAACTGACAAAATGGTGATTGAATTTAAGTTTGGGTTTTTTAAGAAAACAACAAGAAGTCACCTTCAAGCCACAGTTTACAAAGTTGGTGTGTTTTCAGCAAAACACAATTAAGACCAATCTCAGTTTACTGCTTGGATAGAATACTAAGTTGTTAGGGATGGAGGAGAAATTCTATTCAGTATGGACTTAAAGCCAAATGATCAAATTTGCACTTTCTGAACCTCAGAATCAAACTGAAGCACAGCCTTCGAAATTCACGCTTATCCGAATTTTGTGATGCAGTTCTCCATCCAAACAATGTTTACAAAAAAATGCACATTTCAGGGGAAAGTCCGCTTAAAAATGAAGATATTATTGAAAACAGCATACAAAAATGCATTTTTTGAGGAGAAACGGCTTTCAAAAATGTGGACATTTGCAAAACTGGACATAAAATGTGTTTATTAGGAATATCAGTTGCTTGGAAACTACAGAATGTGGGGAGGGTGTTGTTGTGCTCAGATCCTGCTTGCAGGTTTTCCACTGGGGCATCTGGTTGGCCACTGTGAGAACAGG